TCACCCACGCTGCTTTTTAAAAAAGAAAAGGCAGTCTTAATCCAATTCTTAGGCACCCAGAGCTGTGCCGAAGAATCTAATGACAATAGTATTACTTGCTTTCAGAAACCCTTTCATCACTTCCTTTTCTTTCCTATCTCTTAGTACTCTGTTATTACAGACCGGGGCTTCGTGACCAAAAAATGCTGAATCCATTTGGTCAAGTTTGTCAGACTGGTGACTAGCATTGTGTGAAGACCAAAGGTCTGCATGAATGACTGCATTTTTAATGAATTGACCAGTCATTTGGCATCCCGTGAACAGAATTTCATGCTGTGTACTGCAAACCGCGGTGAAGGATAATGGAGACAGCTTTTCCAAGGCCAATTTTCACTCCTAGACTAGGGAGGAGGCTCCAGTTTGAGGTCTGGTTAACATTTGTTCATATAGAAATACAAGCCAAGAAGGGAGCATCCTTCTTTCCTGGGGTCTAAGGCATCTTAGACCTGGCCCTTCAGGTTTCAGGTAGGTGAGCGCTATGCTTTCTGGGAGTTTTCCTGTATGGGACAGAAGCCAATTCAAGGTTTATTCTTGTTGGTTATGTGTTAAGGTGGCTGCTGCTGGCAAAATGGTGGTCCCGTGCAAATTAGAAAAAAGCACCCTCTCTTGGCCGACCCAAGGCTTGGCAGGTGAAGAACTGGCTGAAAGGGGTTCCCACACGTTGTGTAAGGCACACCCTGCACAGCTTCACCTACCAGCCCGTGTGTGTGTGTGTGTGTGTGTGTGTGTGTGTGTGTGTGTGTGTAGAAGCACACTCTCAAGGGGGTAGAGAGCAGGGCCAGGAGCTAGGAGGCTGGGAGGGGGCTGTTCAGAGCCTCTCCTAGAAGCTCCCTTTATACAGGTCTGCCCTCCCTCCTCCAGGGCTGACCTCCCATTCTCTCCGGTCCTTTCTGAAGGTGCGTATTTGTGGTATAAACAGTGGCTACCCTCAGGCAGAGATCACTACATGCAGCTTCATATTCTTTGTTGAAGGCTCTGTAATAGTCACAGCAGGGAGATTCCCAGGTGATAAAGAGCTAGGATGAGTATAAGAATTTTGGGGCTGGGCGGGCTGAGGGGCGCATTGGTTAAGAGTTGACTTGGGACACCAGCTCTGAGCAGCAGGACCC